AKMAYWAYTAWKWAKWAYWAYYRTMSTACTAGGTCTGGTAGGGAAGAAAASTGAATAGGTTTTAGGGCAGAGGCAAGAATGATCTACCTGAGATAGAAGAACGACAAGAGAARCAGAAGTAGTGRGAGGATTTTGTTATTTCTCCTCTTGTTGTTGTTGTTCTCCTTTTCGTTCGTCTCGGCACCTCCACGAGCGGCAGGAAACAAGAAGAATACGGAAAGCTCTTCCTCTCCTCATCACTACCGAGATGAAATCTGAGAGGAAAACCCCGTCACGAAACAAAAARGGATTCTAGTTTTACTAGATACTAGCCYCAAAAACTAGTACCACCGAATGATCAGCAAACATGATTTTACTACTTCTGGACTAGGTTAGAAGAATTCCAATGGAATACACCTGAATTGTCCCATCGAATGATRTGATAGTAGATGTAATAGAAGGTTGTGCAGATATTCTTCTATTTGTTGGGTATTGGGGCAATCACAATTTCAATGCATCCGTACTACAAAACCCTCTGTCACAAAAKTCGCTCCACTACGCATCGGTAGCATCGCAAACTCCRGCGGCCGAGACGGCAAACTGGGCATCGGCTTCGGGGAGCGAGGGCGAATCRAAGACGGTCATGATGCGGTTTTCGCCACGTCCCTTGCGGAGGCGCAAACGGGTSGTCGAGGCGTGGGCAATGATGTTCCCGCCGATGGGCTTGGTGGAGTCCTTAGCGAAACTCATTCCGTCCGGATTCGCCACGACCTGGTTGGTGATGAACACGGCTACTCCGAATTCCTCGGCCAATCGAGTGAGCTGGCGGAGGAACTGGCCCATCTGCATCTGCCGTTCGGAGAGCTCACCGCGGCCCTGGTAATCCGTCCGGTACAACGCGGTGGCAGAATCCACCACCAGCAGGGCATATCGGTCCTGGGTTAAGGATTCGCGGAACGACGAAGCAAGAGAACGAGGGACACTGTGAGAAACAAAAGCRTCGGTAGACATGCGCCAAAGAACTCCATCTAGTAGCAGCYAGAAACTCACCTGGGCCATGATTGCCGCCGCGGTCTTTAGGAGCTCCATCTGGTGCTCCGAATTTTGGGCCCTCGCACASGCCACGTTTTCGAGGGCCACCGTAGGATCAAGACCAAACCGCTCGGCAATCACCTTGAGGCGTTCGGGGCGAAAGGAACCCTCGGTATCGATGTAGATGGCCTTTCCCTCGGCGCCGCCTTCCCCGCAGGACATCTGGCAGGTAATGCAGAGGGTGTGACAGAGCTGGGTTTTTCCGGTTCGGAATTCTCCGAACTAAGTCAAACAGAGTTTCCAAAACACAGAGCAAGGTGTGAGGGCGACGATTGAGAGGAAGATTCTGGCAAGAGGCGGACAARCGTGGCTTCGTTTCGGCATCGGTGGCTTACGACTTCGGTGATAGATCCCGTTTCGATTCCGCCCTCCAGCAGCTTGTCAATTTCSACCGATCCAGTTGTGAGCTGAACGATGTTCTTGCGGGCTTCTAGGRCGTCCGTGGCGGTTTGGAATTCCATCGCCACCATTTGTTTGACGATCCCCTTCAGCTTGATGATTTTGGCTTCGGAGATTCCCTTGACGTCCGACAAACGGCGGACCGTGGCGTGGGCCACCTGGGAGGCGAGCAGAAAATGCGAAGGAGCGAGCGACGGAGGAACGAAAAGTGATTCAGAAAGAATTCAAATCAAAGTTCGATGTGAAGAATTGGAAGTGGAAGCAATATACGCAGTGAGTGGGGTGAATCTGACAACAGGGACCGAAACACAGCACCGGTASCCAACGACTCCTCGTGCCGAACGTACCGATTCGATTGTGTGATACCCGGCCGTTTGAAGCTTTTGGATATCATTGGTGGCAATACCGTGCTCTTGGAGTAGGTCAAGGGGCTGATAAATGGGATTGGCCTGTAGAAAAGGAGCACCGATTCAAAGCAAACAGAAACGCTGGGTTAGCCGACTTAATTCGTCATTCGCCTCCAACCTGCAGAGAAGAAGCAGTCGGTAGAGGATACAGAATTTGATTCTACCATCTCCCCGACAAGATCCTTCGGTATGTTGCTCGTCGTTCCCGGGTGTGTCGGCATCRTGTGACGCAATGCGGTAGTCCGTGCAGTGCTCGGTCGACAACAACGAGACRCAAGCAGCCATTGTATCAATAAAAAGCTAGGTCGCACCTCTTCTTCCTCTTCCCCCATTTGCTCGCCATGATGATTTTCCTCGGCAAAATYCGGAGATRCTTCGGTTTCCATMATGATTGCAGACTACCGTAATAGAATGAGCTTGCTGTGTTGTTGTTAGATTGGTACCTTCTTGTGCACTTCTTGTTTRGTTGTTGGTAAAAGTTTCTGGAGGCATTGCTGCCAGTAGCTTCCAAGACTTATTGACTCGACAACCAATGCGTTCGAGAACATAGCGTCAAGGAGAAATCAAAGCAAAAGCGTTCTTTCYATCACCAATCGGTGGACCGGCCTTTCAGCASTAGTGTGARTATCGSCTTCGTCTTGTGTCCAAGATTTCGAACTCGTCGAGAAACCAAAGAAGGAAAATGAGCAGAAAAGTTGATGCCAACGTCTTGCGAGCTCTYGTTTTCCYGAGCTTGTGAACTTTGAGTCAAACGAATCAAATCAAAAATTATCTGTACTRGAAACAAATCAAMCGGTTCTTCCTYGGTGATTGATCGAGTCGTGACAATACCGTGGGTACGTGGATCTGAAATTGTCCACGTCGATCTTTTCAATTGACAACTCCGCTTACGAGTTTSGGYCTAATGTCTAATCCCTTCGTTTGGCAGGTCGGAGTTGTCAAAACACACGCTTTCAACGTTCATATCTKCAGTATCACGGAAGCACCCCAGATCCCAGATGCTGTACAGAACGTACGTACAGTGCGGTATGAATATGAGGAAAAGAGAAAAGACATCAAGCGGGAGTAGTACGTGACAGAATCGCCACCTCGCCAGATGACAACAATATGCTTCAGTAATCTTTCTTATTTAATACTTCGGTAACCAGGATTCTCGTAGAAACAATAAACCGAASAGAGATTACCAATCACCAGCTAGCGAAAGAAAAMGCCWTGGAAAYACGTAGAAGTCGAATTGCGTCCATCGCTCTCATCCACTGCAATCATAGTTGTCATACCGGTAGCATCAGCCACTTCCTTGCAAGCGGCACCGTAAAGAACAAAATCAATCCAGAGAATCCCTCTCCTGGACAATCGATGAACCATGCCAGGAATCTTTAGCACATGCATGACCCCGGGCAGAGTCGGGGGCGAGAGAAGACGAAGGAGGGGCTTCGATAGCATCAGCAGCTCGTCGAGCCGAACGGATAGCATGGAGAGCTCGAGCTATTCCGAACGAAGCCGAAAGTCTGGTTGCAGCAGTTATAGCCGTTCCACCRCCACCCGGGCACAATCYTCCACCACATCTCCACCGCGTGGGTTTTACTCAAACAAGGAACACAAGGCGATGATATTCACGGCGGTAGCTGACCGAAGACTTGCCGGGGACCAAGAATGCCCCAGCTCGTGTCAGAGGCAACAAAAACAACAGTATCAACCATCCGACCCTTCTTCGCCCTGCGAATGGGGATATTTTGTTGATACCGTTTAGTCGGCAGGAAATGAGGCAGGAATAGACAAGAACACAACGTGTTCGAACTAGAATAGAGACATACATTAGAGACTATCAATACCAAAGACTATCCTCTAAMATTCTACGCTSTACTGTGCATATGTAGCGAAATACCGTCACACTCGTGTTTCTGTAGGTGTCRATAATTCTCATGGTWGTGACATTCGAGTGGAGGAAGAACGGGTCGCAACAAACAACAAGATGGCATTTCCTTTGTTGCTTCAACTGAACGATACGTCACTTGTAAGTTTTGTCTGGAACAGTTTCATGGAGTATAGTGCCAACGAAAGAAATTCAACAGTAACTATTGACATAAAAAATGATAGAAAATTTCACTACTGAATCACAATCAGAGCGGAATAGCCGGCACGTCAAATCACGAAACACTGATACCTAGGTGTGGCAACAGGAAAATGGATGAATAGAAAAAGATGTTACTAGCTKTGTTGTATCAAGATATTGGTTTTGGTTCGAACCTTCAAATTGCCTCGCACTCGTGACCCAGTGGTCAATGTCCCATGAAACTGTCAATATCCATAATGCCTTGATGATACGAGACATATCACAAAATGACTGGACTCAAAAATCTTTCTATTTTGACAACAAGAGGTTTCTGCGGATGAATGTCCAAAACCAAATCCATCTTTTGGCAGGGAGACTCAAAATGTGTCATTCCGGTTGCACAAAATCTTATTACGGATCCTTCGCGACGTTCGGGCCTTCAAATGCAAGATCTTTACATTATGACTAGACAAGAAAGGAACGATGGGGTTTCACTTTCAAACTCTTTTACCAATCGTAACGAACCATGACATCCAAGTTCATCAGACATATTCATCCAGCGATGTCCAACGCCAGCTGGAGAGTATCTTCCGGAAATTCTTCGCTGGCAAAAGCCCGATCGAGCAATTCTTGGCGAGCCTCGAGCTCCTGAAGGATAGGTTCGATGGATTCCTCCAGAAAACCGTCGATCGAAAGGGCCTTTTCATAGTATTGTCTACTCTCTTTGATCTTCCAGAGGTCGCTCAGGAGTTCTCCCGCTCGTAACCAGGCTTTTGAGTAGTCCGGGAGGACCTCGGTCGCCCTGAGAGCATCCCGTGCCGCCTGCAGCAAGGATATCTGATAGAGCCCGTGTCGGTATTGGAGCTTTCGTAGCTGAGCYTCCTCAAAGATCCCGTCTCTCTGGAGTTTGCGGAGCATCGCAAGACGACTGGCTGTCTGTGGATCAGTGTCGACGTATTCATCTCTGCTGTTGTGGACGTCAACTGACGGTGGCAGTGGTTCATCGTCSTTCTCAGTCCTAGTCTTTGCTGCATCTTTCTCCCCCTCCGTGACCATACTGTTGGTTCTTTTCTTTTGGTCGTCATCGACATCATTACTTGCAACACTTAGTCCAGATGAAGTTTCTTCTTTATTTGATTGTAGACGAGGATCCGATAACGTAGATAAAGCGGGTGGTGCCAAGGTATCCGAGAAGAGAGCCTGTAATACTTGGGAACTCCGTGATTTCGTTTCCTCATCGTCGACGAATTCTGCTTGCAATATTTCCTTGTGCGATTGGGCCTGTTTTAGAAAGGCCGAGGCACGAAGTAGGAGAATGMTTCCCTCTTGCTGTTGCAGCATAATAGCGCTCTTGTCGCTTTTTTGGTCGTCGAGATTGTATTCCTCGCAGATGGACAAGGCTTCGTTGTAGGCATTGATTGCCGGGTTGATTTCCCCGGATTCGAGAAATGCATTCCCCTTGTATTTCCACCTGAGGCATTCGCATGCCTCCTGGCTGATATTCTACGTACAAGTATGCAATTCAGAAACGAAGTGGGATGTGAGAGTGATGTTTTGGGATAGATTGGAATTGCTCAAACGAGTTGTGCCATGCTGTATACAAACCAAAACACCCACGCACCTCTACTCCAAGATGTTTGGTCAATACTCGGTATACCTTATCAACCGAATCAACGTTGCTCACATCCAGGTTRGGTGACGGCCGAACGATGTCTTTCTTGTTTGTGTTCCAGATGCACCGGATCCACGGTGCCTTTCCCCCTCCGACCGGTTTCGGCAAGATTGCTGGAATGACCTGAACCTCAATGGCATCTGTGTTGTTGTTTTGGCCCCCTCCTCCGTACTGATCGCACAAACTAAAAAAAGCGTCAAAGGTAGCGACCCCGCCGCGATCGAGGGAGGCCTTTGATTGGTCCACGTAGATTTGCCAATCCTTTGTGATCACGTTAGTATCGAAAGTAACATAAAGGGAAGAAGCAATGAAATCGAAGTGAGATTTCTGYGTTGCGAGAAAATGTTTCTCTATTCTTAACGAACTAAGAGTGGGCATTAGAGTGGGCATGACCTGTCAAGGTAWTATGACGACACTCACGGAAGTGGGAGATATATGTGTACTGTTGGGACTTTTTACCGGGTCGTGGTTGCCAAACAGTCCAGCCTTTAGCTCATAAGTTCTACTCCTACGAATAAGATCMTTATCGCCTGTTATAATCGTCTTGTCGGAAATGGARACTTGTTGGTTGATGGTTTCTCTTCGGTGTTGTTGAATCGGTATCATTCTTTCGGGAACGTTCAAGAAGGCCGAAACGAAGACGACAAAGTGGGCTACCACCAACAGAAGCGAAGGTAATGTRATAATCATAGTATGGTCTTTCGTACAACTGAGGTGGATCTTCCGGACGCAAAAACAAATGCCAACAGATCTATTTACCGCCTTTACACGTTAGCAGTCAGCATGTTGTCATTCGTTTTCAGTTTGACCGAGTTTTTATTCGTTTCATGTCGCCCCTCAGAAGATTTTTTGGAGAAAGACATGTTGATGATGTCTGGTCAAATGTCAGTTGACATCATGATTTGTAATCAAAGTGGTCGACTTTTCCGAAAACGTTTCACTTCGCAATGCAATTCGCTGCAATGTAGAGTGCTGTAGTCAGGGGTGTAGGTACGGTACCTCGGGTACCCAGTACCGAACTTGAGGCTTGTACAATCAGGGTGTACAATTGTGCGTAGAAGTACGCACCACGCAGTGCTAACTACTGTACTACAGTATCGACTAGGATAATGTTTCAACTTTTCGYGGGTCCTCTAGATCTCGAAGATACGGTTGCTTCTTTCAAGAGGAAAATAAAATGCTTACGATGACTACGGCGCAGAACTCAGTACACAAGAAGATAACAATACAGTAGCAGAACCTATTTYGTTCGGTAGCAGATATAGATAAGAGAGCTCATCCATTCTATCCAACTGCGTACGAGGGAAATGGAATAGTGAACATGTAAGATTCTGGAATGCTGGTATTGAAAGATGGCTACAAAACGACGCAATGCGACGTCTTCGGTAGATCCTGCTGCAATCGAAGTTTCCTCTGCAAATGCTGTTGTTACTGACAAAGCCAACGGTCAAAATTCCTTGAGACGGTTGCCCTGTTCACATCTTCCTGGTTGCGAACGATTCCTTACCCGAACCCGCCTCTTCCAGGCCGCTGTCTCGGCGGCATTTGACTTCTGTGACGACAGCGGGGACGGCATCGTCGACGAGTCCGAGCTCTATGCCGGCTTGCTTCTGGTCCACCTAAATCTGGCCAAATACGCCGGGCCCTCGGCTTGCTATCCTCCGACGCGGGCCGTCTGCGATCGCCTCTTTATCTTAGCAGACCGCGATAGATCGGGGGGCATCGATAGGAACGAGTTCTGTTGCATCGTGGAGATACTGTGCGCCCAGATTTTGTCGCGGATGCTCGTCTACTATGTCGTGCTGATTCTGGCCGTTCCAGTCCTGGCCACTTTCGTGGTCAAATCTATCGGGATTCCAAGCAACACCTACTTCGAATTGGTCATTCGCGAAAGTGTATCCTCTGCCGTCTTTTTTGTGGCCGTTCCGTTGCTTTGGAACATGATCGATGCTCGGCACGCTGGTGGAGAACGAACCGTCGTTTCCGGAGATGCTAGCTCAAGAGCAAATTCGCGCGATTCAACAGAAGAYCCCGTTGCGATGTTGCCGTTGCGTCGTCAGGAACAACGACATCGCCGGTATCAAAGAAAATCTATTCGGCTAAAAGAAATGGAGCAACAACAACAACATGGTAACGATGAAATTCCAATCTGAAAAATGAAACGAAAAGATTCTTTTTTGTGGACTTCCTTTTGAATTTCGATCTCCCTATGARCTCCAATTTTTGATGGGTGGGTTATCCGCATAATAGTAAATAGTGAGCCACCTATCCAACTCATGAGCCGCCCTTCGGAGTGCACTTWTATCTCTTCGCACATTCATAGTAACGGATAGCCCGCTAAAACGATTCGAGCGACAGCATACGATTATATGTGTAGAATATTGGGTGGAGTCACTCTCGCTTCTAAAAGATGGAATGCATATTACCATGAATTTTGGTTTCTTTTTTTCGAGAAATTCTGGTAAACGGCAACATTGCATCKTATTGTATCGCGGTTGTATAATGAAGTATGTTTTGGTGGAACAATGCAGGCAATGCAACCCCACTCGCGATGAGAATCGATCCCGTTGCGAAAAATTGTGTCTGATACCCCTAAATACAACACTATTGCTGTACGGTACATCATATGATAGAAACATATTATGATACCGTTCAAACTCTCAATCCAGTTCCAGACCAATAGTATCGCTAATGGTGATAACCTCTAGTTCACAGCCACTTTCGTGAGGGGATATCCTCAATTGAGAAGCAGAAGAAGGGGCAACTGCCATGGATACGTCCCAGTTAACTGTTTCCTTCTTCAAAATCTTGAGATACAAAGCCCCGTATGCCTCGTATTCCAGGCCGTACGTGACGTCAGTGGGAAGATTGGTCCTGCTGTTGTTGCCCTTACTTCCATTAAAGGCCACGGCGGGCTCAATCTGGGTGTCTTCGTGCCACTCGTTGAATGAGTTGACCATAATGAGATTGTCTACCTCGGAATCTACGAGTGTCAGGCCTTCTTGTAGGGCGGCCCTGAAGAGAGATCCCTCCGGAGCCCCCGGGGACAGCCTCCGCGAAAGTGGGATGCGCTTGACCTCCGGTCGGACCCCTCGATCGTTGAAGCCCGGAGAGGCGCAGGGAATAAACGCGCAGCCCTTGCTCCGGGCAATCTCCTTCCACGCCCGTTGCTCCCCCTGATAGTAGTCCGTCACGTTTTGTCGGCCGCCTACGTATCCACCTAYGTCGTACCCCCGAATCGATCCGTAGACATCGTAATTAGTGACTGCATCCAAGATCTCAAAGGGAATGAGATCGGCCGCGTTATTTTGCAGAGGTGGTCCCTGGAAGACCTGGTCGCCAACAATGAAAATATCGTCGCAGCCGCCGGCCTTTGCCCCTTCACGCATCAAGGAAATGACTTCCTCTAACAATCCAAGTTCTTCGAGTTTGCGCGTCAGGTAGACAAAAAAGACCGGCCGGYTTATTCCATTTCCGTTGTCTAATATTCGGTAATAGTTGGAATGGGTGAAGTATGTTTTGCATAGGTATTCCAGATCGGGGACGACATTGTCCAACTTGTAACCATATTTTTTGCGGATCCGGCCCGTGGTTTCGTAAAAAATGGCAATCTTGTGGTCCTTCAGCTGCTTGTTGGTCAATATGTGATTCTTGATTGTGTCATCTTCTCGACGGCCTTCTCCCCACCAGCTAGTGACCCATAATTTGATGTTGTGTTGCCGGCTCCATTTCAGGTGCTGGGCAATCACATCTGGTTGCGTGTCGTCGTATTCACCAAGAGCCGGRAATTCCTGAGGATYGATCAGTTGCCTCCGAAGGTAAAGGTTGGGAACGTCGGGTTTGACRCCTCGATGAAAGTCGTCTCCCCACCAGGGATAGTAATAGGCACCGACTAGAGCCAAYTTCTTCTGCGCACAGTTGTTGTAGTCGCATGTTTCTCGGCAACGTTTGGCGATKGTTGCCCCCAGGTAGACTCTCTTACATCGCTTCTTGAGCTTCCTCTTCTTTCTTGCCACCCACTTGCAGGCCTCCTTCTCTTTGTAGAGAAAATCCGGGTCGTCCGTGCAATCATTGGCTGTTGGCGATGTGAAGGAAGCATCGACAGAAGATGAAGCTCCTTTCGCTTGTATCGTTTCGATCTCGCCAAAACTTGAAGTTGCCGTACCACTGACGTCGCCTATTCCGTATTCGTCGTCGAGAACCGGCGTTGCGGTAACAGAAATTKTCCTCGAGGAGGTCATTGCGGTTATCATCATTATTGCGACAAAGACAAAAAAGCAAGCAGTTGGAGTGCCTCGCTTTCTCTTGTTCATRGTGCTGCTAGACCACGTCAACGTCGTCGTCARTGTCTTGGTCGGGATTGGAACGATTTGATTACTCGAAAGGTAACTTTTATTTTAGCTTTGTTTAATAAGGGAAAAACGAATTGAAGGATTATGACATKGGGAAGATGAGTTAGTTGGTTTAAGGTTTGGATAATAGACTTTTGATTCTCAGAAAAGCGTTGCCTCATACTCGCACGTAYCACTACTGCTTTAAGGTTGTCCGGTGCGACTTCCTATGGGTTTTGACTTYTCTGCTATCTGCTAGCCCTGTTACTTGTACGGTACTCGTACGTACGTACCGAAATTATCGGTTTCGAGTCGTGGCACATGTTTGACTCATGAAGTAAGAAGGAGGAACCAAAAACTTAGAGGAGCGACGCATCGAAACCTCAATTACAGTTACATGTGTGACACAACATGTATGTAAAAGTTGTCGCTTTTTCGCGGGAAGAGGAAGGACATTACGTCATGTGGTGGCAGTGGAAGTCGGAGGTGTCAGCACTGTATTTTCAATTTAGTCGCATGCCACCACCATTTAAGCTGGCATCTAATTCCCGGAACTTTATTGTTTTACTATGTTTCAAAGTTCAAAACCCTACCAAAGATGAGTACATACCATGTTTCTTAAAAACCCATCCCCCAGACCCCCCTGCCGCTGAGCGAACCAATTACAGTCAAAACTGTTTTAATCTTTTTTTATTATTCGACTTCCATGACTACTAGTGGGGCCTCACAGCTTCTTGCACAGAGATTATGGCTTCCACCACAGCTGCTCTTGATCAAGAAGCAGCACCAGAAACCATATTCTTGTATGACAAGAAACAGAAGGCTGCTCCATACCTTTCAAGAACGTGTTGATGGTACTGTGCACCCTACCCACTGAGGTATTTTGAGTGTCCTACTGTGACGTACTGGTGATACTATCATTCCAGGAATTTCAGCAGCAGACTTGATAAAATAATACAGTCCTGTATTTTAATGACAAGAGACAAGAATATAGTAGATAGCTGTTGCAGTTACATCAAAGTACTCATTTCACAGACTTATTGACCTCAAAGTGAGTCTCTGGGCAGAATTACTAYTWTTWYT